CAACCCCAAACCCTAAGCCCTAAACCGAACCCTAAGCACGGAACCCTAAACCTTAAACCCTGAACCCTGAACCCTAAACCCTAAACCCTAGTCCCTCAACCCCAAACCCCAAGCCTGGGGCTGCCTTTTAGTAATCTCTTCATATTCTCTGCATTTTGGTCTTTAGGGTATAGGGTTTAGGAATCGGGGTCTAGGGTATAACCCCTACAACCCGCCCCAAATCTGAGCCCGAATTCAACGCCGACACTCTCGACCCCCAAATCCTAAACCCGAAAAATCTCAAATCCCCAAGGCCCCCAGCCTACCTAGAGCCCCCCCAGTTGCAATGCCCTTCGGGTTTCGGGTTTTAGGGTTCAGGATTAGCTTTCATCTGCACTGCGAGCTTAAAGACACGTCGGCACCCAGGCACACTGGGTTGAAATGTTGAGGAGCATCAACGAAGCTAAGCACCATAAGTAGAATTTCGGGTTTGGGCTCTAGGGCTTGGGGGTTAGGGCCGTTTAGGGTTTAGAGTTTAGGGTGATGCCCTAAACCCTAAACCCTAAACCCTAAACCCTAAACCCTAAACCTTAAACCCTAAACCCTAAACCCTAAACCCCTAAACCCTAAACCCTAAGCCCTGATACTCTACAGCCCTGCTAATTACATGCTCCGTGCAGAGGGCCCCTTTTACGTGGACGAAGACGTGCCATCAGCGCGAGGCTCTAAGCGAGAGGCAACCTCGAAGGCGATGGAAACCCTAAACCCTAAACCCTAAACCCTAAACCCTAAACCCCAAACCCCTTGGAGATGTGGGGGGATTGGAGGGGCATCTCTGAAGAGGCACCCCCAGCCAGTCGGAGAGGAGACTCCCCCCTCCAGCACGATGGCTAGAAGGCAGGGCTCGCCCTCCTGCCACGCCGGCAGCCACTGCATTCCTTTTTTTTCGACCTTGAACAATTTCAAGTTTACAGGGGCTCAGAGGGTTGATAGGGTTCATAGGGGTTCATAGGGTTCATAAGGGTTCATAAGGGTTCACAGGGTTCATAAGGTTGATAGGGTTCATAAGGTTGATAGGGTTCAGAAGGGTCAGAGGGTTCAGAAGGGTTAGAGGGTTCAGGGGCCTGAAGCCCTGCACCCTGAACCCCTCTAGTATAGGCACCTTAGCCCTATATTCTCGTGCCATAAACCCTAAACCCTAAACCCTAAACCCTAAACCCTAAACCCTAAACCCTAAACCCTAAACCCTAAACCCTAAACCCTTCGAGGCGGCTTCTGCGAGGGAAAGGGGGTCCTCCGCTGTGAGGTCCAGCGCCACCAGGCCATTCACCAGGTGATCCTCTCCAGCCATGGGTTGAAAGGGGGTTTAGGGTTTAGCGTTTAGGGCTTAGGGTTTAGGGTTTAGGGTTTTAGAGTTTAGGGTTTAGGGCACGATAATACGGTTCTGTTGGTGGGGTTGTAGGGTCTGAGGGTTAAGGGTCTAGGGTTTCGGGATTGGTGAGTCTTTAGGGTTTCTTTTGTTTATGGGGCTTGGGTGCTCTCTTTTTTTTTTTTTTTTGGGGGGGGGGGGGGGGGGGGTTGGGGCGGTAGGTTTCCTTTTAATGATATAGGGGTTAGGGCGTTGGGTCGTGCTGGTTAGGGCGTTGGGTCGTGCTTCTTCCTTTGAATGGAACTTTAGGTTCTTAGGCTTTAGCCAGCCTCAAGAAATAGGGCTTGGTGGGGGGGGGGATTATGGACTATGTGGGCTTATAAGGTTGAAGGTTTTGGGAGAGGGACGGCCGAGGGTCAGTGAGAGCGCTTGTACATTGCAGCCTGTGACATGTGCCTCCGAACTAATTGAAGGGCTGAGGGCTTTGGGGTTTAAGAGGTTTGGGGGTGTTGATGCTTGGAGTTGCAGGTCTGGGGTTTAGGGTTTAGGGTGTCGGGTCTCCCTGCCCTTGCCCAGAGGGCGACAGCGATGGGTCCTCGAAAGCACGCACGACATTGTTGGGCAAGCCGCGCTGGTCCAGCCACTTGCCAATCTGTACCTGCTGTCCGTCTGGGGCGTTGGGAAGAAGAACCCTTAACCCCAAAACAAACCCTGTGAACCCTGGACACCAACCTCTATGAACCCTACACCCTAAACCCTGAACCCTCAACTCCAGACCCTTATACGGGAACCTGACACCTGAACCCTATAACCCTGAGCCCTGAACCCTCAACTTCTATGAGCCCTAAACCTCATCAACCTCAAACGCTATGAACTCAAGGCTCCATGACACTATGGCGTCGAAAGCCGAAACGAACCTTACCACCAACTGAAGTCTTAACCCCACAACCACGAGGGTTTAGGGTTTAGGCTTTAGGGTTTAGGGTTTAGGGTTTAGGGTTTAGGGATTAGGGTTTCGGGTTTAGGGTTTAGGGTTTACCCTAAGCCCTGTGAACCCTCAACTGCTACTTGGAGCCTCATGGGTACTGGAAACCCCAACTAGAAGTCTACTTGTAACCTGCTTAGGGGACTTTGGGGGCTACAAGTGCAGTTCTACACGGGGTTAGAAGTACGCATAAACCTCCAAGTATGAACCCTTAAACCCTATGAAACTGAACCAAATGAACAATGAACCCTACACCCTAGAAGCCCAAAACTGCCCAGGGCTTACGTGTTTCTGGGATTCTGGTGTGGCGTGTTTGGGGGGGGGGGGGGGGGGGAGGAGTGCGGTTCGGTCTTACGGATACTTTGGCGCTTCCGCCGGCTTCTGATTGAGGAGTTAGGGCTTCTAGGGCTTAGGATTCACGGCTTAAGGCTTAGCATAAAAACTTGGGGCTTAGGGTTTAGGATTTTTGGGTGCGAGGAAGCGCACCTCATATTGAAATGGCGGCTCCATTGCAAGAGGATTGCTGGCATCGGCTTTCTCTTTCTTCTCAGACTTCTTCTTGGCATCTTTTGATCCTCGCTTCTTTCTAGTGCCTTGACGTCAAAGGATCCCGATTCCAAGCGCTTGGAGGCTCTGGTTTGGAGAACGTTGGCTCGGCGCTCTTTCGAGAGAGTTGGGGCATCGCGGTGGCCTTCGGTGAGGTGAGGGTCCTGAAATCAAACCCTAAACCCTAAACCCTAAACCCTAAACCCTAAACCCTAAACCCTAAACCCTAAACCCTAAACCTCGGGCCTTGGCAAGCTGTGATTCCCCTCAGGGGATTTCCACGTCAAGATCCATCGGCTCTGCATGATTTGCCACTGGACGTGCAGGGGCCTTGCAGCCTCCCATTCTGCCAGCCAGTCCTTGTCGGTCTTGACAGCCATGCCGAGCCTGAAGCTCAAAAGTATGCTTCTCTTCATGGCTTTCAGCTTCTTCTTATTCCCGACATCTTCGTGTGGAGTTCTTACTTTTAGAGTTGTCCCGTTTCCTAAACCCCCAAACCCCCAAACCCCCTACACCCCTGCACCCCCCACACCCCTACACCCCTAAAGCCCCTACACCCTCACTCCCGCGAGCTGCTGCTAAACCCTAAACCCCAAACCCCAAACCCCAAACCCCAAACCCTAAACCCTAAACCCTAAACCCGAAACCCCAAACCCTAAACCCTAAACCCTAAACCCCTAAACCCTAAACCCTAAACCCTAAACCCTAAACCCTAAACCCTAAACCCTAAACCCTGAACCCTAAACCCTAAACCCCTAAGCCCTCGCTCCCGTGAGCTGATGGCCTCACTCCAGAGGAGAGGTCCTTCTTGCACCTCCTGCTGGAGTGCAGCCATGGCGAAGCGAAGGTCTGTCAGACCCGGCACCCAGCACTGCGGTTTAGGGTTTAGGGTTTAGGGTTTAGGGTTTAGGGTTTGGGGTTTGGGGTTTAGGGTTTAGGGTTTTAAGGGTTTTAAGGGTTTAGGGTTTAGGGTTTTAAGGGTTTAGGGTTTTAAGGGTTTAGGGTTTAGGGTTTAGGTTTTAGGGTTTTAAGGGTTAAGGGTTTTAAGGGTTTACGGGTCTCTAAAGTTTTTGGACTCGGGGCTTGGGGTGTAGAGTTCAGGCTGTCCCTTTCCGTAGTCTCGTACCCCGGACACCCAGAAAAGCCCTCAACCTTTGACTTCACTGACAGGATTCGGGCTTAGGGGTTGTAGGGTTTGTAGGGCCAAACCCTAAACCCTACACCCTAAACCTTAAACCCTGCACCCTAACTGAGGGTTTGCAGAGGGGGGGGGGGGGTTTCATGCATATGCCAGCCATGGGGGACTGCCTGTGAGCCGGAGAGCACCGGGCAAGCACAAAGGGGAGCATACATCAGGGTTGAGGGTTTAGGCTTTAGGGTTTAGGGTTTAGGGGTAGCTGGGTAGCTTGTAGTATACGCAGAGAGGATCATAACTATGGAGATCGTATGGCTATAAGGGGATGCCACTTGACACGTCATATTTCAGCCCCTAAACCCTAAACCCTACACCCTAAACCCTACACCCTGAACCCCTAAACCCCAAACCCCAAACCCTAAACCCTGTAGTATTCTACCCCTGCAAAGTGCAAAAGGAGGACAATCTTCACAGCGGATCCAACTCCGAGAGACTTATGGGTTTAGGGTTTAGGGCTTAGGGTTTAGGGTTTAGGGCTTAGGGCTTAGGGTTTCACAGGGCTTGCAGGGTTTACTCGAAGGGAAACGGGCCAGGGCCAAGGCCAGGGTCATACTCTCACTGCACCCTAAACCCTAAACCCTGAACCGGAAACCCGAAACCCCAAACCCCAAACCCTAATACCCTAAACCCTAAACGTTTGGATGCTATGTTTTATGTCTGCTGCCATAAGAACCAGACACTCATGGAGCTTCGAGGAGCCGCAGTCAAAGTTTCCGCCTACTAGCCCCAACAGCAAGGGGTGGCCCTTTTTGGTTCAAAGGGGCGTAGAAGCGGAACCTAAAACCTATAAACCCGCGAATAAGGGTCCACTCTGGTTCCTAAACCCTAACCCTAAACCCTAAACCCGAAACCCTAAACCCTAAACCCTAAATCCGAAAGGCCTAAATCAGCCCGAGGCTATCGTTGGGGCTTTGGAGCCCTCCTGCCTGCTCTCGCTGGGTCAGGAGCGACTCCGCGTTGTACTGCGCGATCGTCGCCTTCATGACCTTCCCATCGACACCGGGCCCACAAGCCCTAAGCCCTAAGCCCTACCCTAAACCCTAAACCCTAAACCCTAAACCCTAAACCCTCAACCCTAAACCGAACACCCACCGAGTCAGGGCATGGGGCTTTGGTGGGCAGTGGGGGAAGGCACAGATCTAGGTGGTTCAGGAACCGCGGGTCTCGGGTTGAGGTGTAGGGATTATAGGGTTTTAGGGCTTAGGGTTTGGGGTTTAGGGTTTAGGGTTTAGGGTTTTGGGGTTTAGGGTTTAGGGTTTAGGGTTTAATTAGGGTTTAGGGTTTAGGGTTGAATAAACCGAGGACACACTCAGGGAAGCCGGTGTCTAAGCGGGAACCTGGCCCTCAAAAGGCAGGGGTTTGAGGGCTGTATGACCTCGGGGCTTCATAAGGGATCCGTACCCCCTAAACCCTAAAGCCTAAACCCTAAACCCTAAACCCTAAAGCCTAAACCCTAAACCCTAAACCCTAAACCCTAAACCCTAAACCCTAAACCCTAAACCCTAAACCCTAGACCCTACCTATGGGCCACCCAGAGGCTTGTAGGGGATGTAGAGGAGGAGAGAATGGAGTTGCAAAAGGGTCAAAGGGAACCTAGCGTGGTCTTATGACCAGGAAGCACGGTACTGAAGGTTTAGGGTTTAGGGTTTAGGGTTTAGGGTTTAGGGTTTAGGGTTTAGGGTTTAGGGTTTAGGGTTTAGGGTTTAGGGTTTAGGGTTTAGGGTTTAGGGTGGGTTTAGGGTGGGTTTAGGGTTTAGGGTTTAGGGTTTAGGGTTTAGGGTTTAGGGTTTGGGGTTTGGGGTGTTGGGTTTAGGGGTCTAGGGTCAGGGTTTTTAGGGTTTAGGGTTAGGGTTTAGGGTTTAGGGCTAGGGTTTAGGGTTTAGGGCTTAGGCTTAGGGCTTAGGGCTTAGGGCTTAGGGCTTAGGGCTTAGGCTTAGGGCTTAGGGCTTAGGGCTTAGGGCTTAGGGCTTAGGGCTTAGGGCTTAGGGCTTAGGGCTTAGGGCTTAGGGCTTAGGGCTTAGGGTTCACGGTCTAGGGTTTAGGGTTTAAGGTTTAGGGTTTAGGGTTTAGGGTTTAGGGTTAAACCCATCCAACCTCGCAACCCAGAAACCGCCAGGCGCACTGAAAACACTCTTAGGTCTTGCACCTTTACAACCTCAACCCTGGACCACTGAAACCCTCTGTCTTAAAAACCGAAAACCCTAAACGCCCGAGATCTTAAAAACTGTAAGCCCTAAAGCCTAAACCCTAAACCTTAAAAGCCCTAAGCCCTAAACCCTAAACCCTAAACCCTAAACCCTAAACCCTAAACCCTAAACCCTAAACCCTAAACCCTAAACCCTAAACCCTAAACCCCAAACGAAAAGCCCACCTCGTTTGCGATGGATGGGATGACACGCTCATCGTAGTCCTGAAGGTTCGCAGTGAATCTTGGGAGGGGCCCCGAAATTCCTAACTCAGTTTAAAACCTAGGAATAAAAAAGGGGTTTGGGGTTTGGGGTTTAGGGTATAGGGTTTAGGGTTTAGGGTTTAGGGTTTAGGGTTTAGGGTTTAGGGTTTAGGGTTTAGGGTTTGGGGTTTGGGGTTTAGGGTTTAGGGTCTAGGGTTTAGGGTTTAGGGTTTAGGGTTTAGGGTTTAGGGTTTAGGGTTTAGGGCTAGACCCAGGAGTAACTTAGGACTTAGGAATCAAAAGGGTACCCTTTTTGGCTTTCAGGGGATTATAAGGGAACCCCTACCCTAAAAAAAGGAAGTAAGGGCCTACCCGGGGAGAGCAAGGAAGGCAAACGGATTACAAACATATATATATATATATATATTATTATATTATATACATTATATATATATATATATTATTATATTATAACATATTATATTCTATCATATTATATTATTTTATTTTATTTTGTATTATATTATATTATATTATACTATATTATATACAATATATATATATATATTATGTATAATATATATATATATATATATTGCATGGTGCCGGAGTGCTGCAGCATGTCCTTTGCTGTCTTGGTTTGACGTTCTGCTTCTTCTCGGGCTGCCTGTGCCTCCTGGTTGTCTGAGACTGCCAACAGACTGCTTCTCCTCTGGCGCGAACTTCTCGTTGGCCTCTTTAGACTGTCGATTCTGCTCCATGAGCTCCTTCTCAACGGCGCACTCAGGACAGTAGCTGCCAGCTCTTCGTCGTGTTTTTTTGTGAGCAGCTGCCTGGTCCAGTTCCACCTGCAACTTGGAGTTCTTCATCTCGAGCTCGTGTTGCTTCTTGGCTTGCAGTAGTTCAAGCTGGTGCTGAGGGGCAAGGGCTTTAGGGTTTTAGGTTTGAGGGTTAGGGTTTAGGGTTTAGGGTTTAAGGTTTAGGGTTTGAGGGTTTAGGGTTTGAGGGTTTGAGGGTTTGAGGGTTTGAGGGTTTGAGGGTTTGAGGGTTTGAGGGTTTGAGGGTTTGAGGGTTTGAGGGTTTGAGGGTTTGAGGGGTTGAGGGGTTGAGGGTTTGAGGGTTTGAGGGTTTGAGGGTTTGAGGGTTTGAGGGTTTGAGGGTGTGAGGGTTTGAGGGTTTGAGGGTTTGAGGGTTTGAGGGGTTTGAGGGTTTGACGTGTTGAGGGTTTGAGGGTTTGAGGGTTTGAGGGTTTTGGAGGGTTTGAGGGTTTGGGTGTTGAGGTTTGGGGTTTTGAGGGTTTTGAGGGTTTGAGGGTTTGAGGGTGGGAGGGTTTTGAGGGGGTGGGGAGGAGTGGTTTGGTGAGGGTTGGGGTGAGGGTGGTTGTGAGGTTTTAGGTGGGTTGGGGGGGGGAGGTTTGAGGGTTTTGAGGGTGGAGGTTTGAGGGTTTGAGGGTTTGAGGTTTGAGGTTTGAGGGTTTGAGGGTTTTGAGTTTAGGTTTGAGGGTTTTTGAGGGTTGGAGGGTTTTGAGGGGTTGAGGGTTTTGAGGGTTTGAGAGGTTGAGGGTTTTGAGGGTTTAGGGTTTGGGGTTTGGTTAGTATCCTTTGTTGTGTTGCTTGGGCCAGCTATGGGGTTTTGCGGAGCTTTGGGGGGGGGGGGGGGGGGGGGGGTGGGGGGGGGTGGGGGGGGGGGGGGGTCCTGAAAGGGTACCCTTTCCCACACAACCCAAGGGCCCCACTTCAAACCCTTAAGAGGAGCCATAAAACGCCCTATGGGGGTGTCAAGGTGTTCATAGGCTTAAGGTTCACCAAGTGTATAGGGTTTAGGGTTAGGGTTTGGGTTTAGGGTTTGGGGTTTTGGGGTTTAGGGTTTTAGGGTTTAGGGTTTAGGGTCAGGGCAGAAGCCACCCTAGCATCCTCCGCCAAGGGTTCGGTGGATCGTCGGGAGGCCGCCACATTCCGGCTTAAACAACATGCCTTGCTGCACCCCGAAACCCTGGAAACCTAAACCCGGAAACCCGAAACCCGAAACCCTAAACCCTAAACCCTCTGATTTAAGAAAAGGCTGCAGAGTAAGAACCAGACTGCTCCAGGTTGAGGAAGTGAGGGACTTAGGGTTTTAACGGTCGACCCTAACACTAGACCGCCCCTAACCTCCAGCATTTTGGGCTTCGGACCCTAAAGCGGGCTACCGCCTATACCTTGCAAGAATTAGACGTTAAAGGTTTTGAGACGCTAAGCTTAGTGACAGTTCTGGGAGAGCTTGCTCTGTTCACTTTAGGGTTTAGGGGTTTAGGGTTTTTTAGGGTTTAGGGTTAGGGTTTAGGGTTTTAGGGTTTAGGGTTTAGGGTTTAGGGTTTAGGGTTAGGGTTCTCAGTCCGAGCATTCACCAGTCGGCAGCTTGTCAAGCGTTGGAAAAAAATCCCACCCCACCCAAGAAACCCATAACATTGAGAAATATAAAGTTCACTCAATCTTTTCCCGGTAGCTTAAAGCTCAAAGTCCAATTGGTCCAAATATTTATTTTTAAACGGACCCAAAACCCGAAACTAATCTAAAGGCCCGCAATAAGCCCTTATGCTCTTATCCCTAAACCCTATCGTTTTAGAAGCCCGACTGTGAAGGCTCGGTTTTGGTCAAAAATCCAGAAAACAGTACTAAACAAATCGCATTTTTAACTGGGCCCCTTGCCGATCCTGGGTCCCCCTCATTTGGGGTGTTTGGGAGCAAAATTTAGCCCTAACCCTATGCCCCAAACCCTACGAGCCCTAAACCCTATGCCCCAATAAAAAAAACCAGTTGCCGACGAAGGGGTCAGGGTTTAGGGGCCCCCCCCGGTGAAAAAACCCATTTGCCGACGAAGGGGTCAGGGTTTAGGGCCCCCCTGTGGAAAAAAAACCCTTTGCCGACGAAGGGGGTCAGGGTTTAGGGCCCCCCCCGGGTGGAAAAAAACCATTTGCCGACGAAGGGGGTCAGGGTTTAGGGCCCCCCCCGGGGGAAAAAAAACCATTTGCCGACGAAGGGGGTCAGGGTTTAGGGCCCCCCCCGGGTGGAAAAAACCATTTGCCGACGAAGGGGGTCGGGTTTAGGGCCCCCCCGGGTGGAAAAAAACCATTTGCCGACGAAGGGGGTCAGGGTTTAGGCCCCCCCCGGTTGGAAAAAAACCATTTGCCGACGAAGGGGGTCAGGGTTTAGGGCCCCCCCCCCGGGTGGAAAAAACCATTTCCGACGAAGGGGGTTCGGGTTAGGGCCCCCCGGTGTAAAAACCATTTGCCGACGAAGGGGGTCAGGGTTTAGGGCCCCCCGTTTGTCAAAACCAGAAACGGAGGCCACCCAGAACCCGATTTCAATACTAAAAATCGCATTTGAATCGGGGCCGATTCCTGGGGTCCCCCCGGGTTTGGGCCCCCGGGTGGAAAAAAACCATTTGCCGACGAAGGGGTCAGGGTTTAGGGCCCCCCCGGGTGCGAAAAAAACATTGCCGACGAAGGGGGTCAGGGTTTAGGGCCCCCCCCGGGTGGAAAAAAACCATTTGCCGACG